TAGTTTGTCTACTATTGTGCGACTGAACAGACACTTCACAGTGGGCTCCACTGACTTTGTTATGAAGTAAATTGAAATTTTCCAATTGTATGGCAACATAATGTTGGGAAAAACTATTTTGTCTGGTAACAGAACACTGGATTAATTAAAATTCACTAGCATTTTATTACCGAACAGTCCGAGTACAAATTATTACCACATCATTTGGGAGGATGTGGCTCTATAATGTATAGCCACAAAAGGCTAGACAAAACTATTTATTCTGGCGTTATATTACCGAATTTTTGTAAATTGTTTCGCATTGTGTGGCCGAATAGGCACTTCAATGTGGATTCTACTGGCTTTGTTGGGCAGCAAACAAAAATTATCCAATTGAACGGTAACATAATGCTGGGAAACAAAATTTTATCCAGTAACATGGAACTAGAGTAGTTCAAATTGTTTAGCATTGTATTACCGAACAAAAACATTATTTAGGATAAAGTGGCTCTGGAAATATATAGCAACTAAATACTGGAGGGATCTATTATTTTCGGTAACTAAGCACCGGAATAATTCAAAAACAATGTTACTTCCAACAAATGGTACCATATCCCTCCAAAACACTGTAATACCATTACAATGCATTACAAACAATAACAAATTCATATGTTCGCCAAAATAAGTTTCAATTGACATAAATATTGAATACAAAATAGATATGAAACTGTTTAAAATTCTTACAAAAGTATGACAATTCATTACTTGTCCAACCAAGCATCCAGTTTACAAAAGATCCAAGGCATCTACAAAAACTATGCCATTAGGGAAAAGTATATCCCAAATTCTGTACAGTCTATGCATTCACAAAAACTATGTCATCAAAAAAAAATTAGATCCCAAATTCTGTACGGGCTAGGCTTTCACAAAAACTATGCCGTAAAAAAAAAAACTACATCCCAAATGTTATATACGGTTAACACAAAACTATATCCCAAAATGTATGCGGGCTAGACATTATGCAAAATTATGTCATCAAACAAAAAGTAGATCTCAATCCTCATGTACGGTCTATCCTACGATGTTTACGACAGTAGACTTGATGCTCTATACGTGTCGAAGTAGATCCCAAACTCTGTCCATCAAGAACTTGCAGCATGCGACCAATGGTTTCATACAGCACGTCAGGGTGCAAGACAGACTCATCACGACTGAGCCTATGGACTGCAGCATCAACATTGAAAACAGCATCATTACACTGCAAAAAATTTGATAAAAATCATACTTAGTGTTTGATTTATGGTGAACCACTTAAAAGTGAAAAAAGTTAATTCACAATTTGCTTACCCACTCAAGATCCATAGTAACATCATTATCGGGACGTTGAACACATGGATCAAACTGAGAGTGATGTGTAGGATTTTGAATAACCCGATGCGAAACACAAGCATACCAATCACGGTATCCTCATACACATTCAGATGGTCGCTGCTGTACAAGCACACTACGAGCATTAATGGACAACACATGATTCTCCCACTGCGCCCATATCGTGTCATGGTATTGATACATGATTCTGTATTGTCCTGGTTTACTGCCCCGTATAGCTCGAACAGGAGATAATGGTTCTGGTGGGATGGTTATGACTCTACCAAACTGTCGCAAAACCCTATTGGGGTGATAGGGTTCAACAATATCAAAGCATTTCAAACATCTAGTATAATATGCAACCTCATGAAGTGGATGGTGTGTCCTACATAAACAGTATGGATCCCACTCGATCTACAAATAAGGAATGCATAATGTTAGTTAAGAAATCTTTTTTTTTTTTTTTACAATATCACACTATTATAAAATGTCTAACCTCATTAGCATGTAACATGTCAAGTTGCTCTCGTAATGTCTGCAAGTGGTCTTCCGTAAAACCTCTATCTCTCCGCGAACTCCGACGACATACACAAGGTTGTTCATCAGAATAGGACAAATTTGAATGAGGCCTTCCCAAACGAAAATGCTCATAAATCCATACTTCCAATAGCTTCAAGTAACCAGTAATCTGCTTAACACCAGCCCTACTATTGTGCGACTGAACAGACACTTCACAGTGGGCTCCACTGACTTTGTTATGAAGTAAATTGAAATTTTCCAATTGTATGGCAACATAATGTTGGGAAAAACTATTTTGTCTGGTAACAGAACACTGGATAAGAGGGTACAACCTAATAAGTATAGCAAGTAAGCTCTCGCTGCGTATTCTATGAAATTTGCATCATCTGTATCGTTAACTTCATGAAATCTAATTCGCAACCACTCTAGCTTCATGGATTGCCCACGAGATTGAACTAATTCTGCAAATGCATCATTCACTGGCACTCCCAAAGTAGTATTCACCAGTTCAGCAGCCTCGTATCTTGTTAACTTAGGACATGACAAAGCCATGCCAGTGACTGGAATGCCAAATATGGTCCGCACATCATCCAATGTGACAGTCATCTCACCATCTGGCATGTGAAATGTATTTGTCTCTAGATGCCACCTTTCAACGAAGGCAGATATTGCCACTCTATTGTCATGCCGATATGTGTGATCAATAAGGACACTAAGACCAGACTGCTCACCAAATGTCTCCACCTAACATTTTGGACTGTTGGTGACATCCATGGCCACTCGGCAAGCTTTTGAAAATGATTCAAACATTTAAGAGGTCCTCGTTCCTGCATTTTACATAAAACATATAAATAATTTGAAGCATACAGTACATATGATTAGTTTATTGTTGAGAAATTCTCAAAATACCTTTTTCTTCCAAACAGCGACAGCAACATGGTTACGAAAGCTAATTAGCAATGAAGGATCCTCTGGAGCACCCGGAACTGGTTCTGTGTTGTCATCATCCACACCAACATCGTCCTCCATGAGGTCAGCCTCTACAACAATATCATTATCGACATCGTCATCCTCCACACCAATATCGTCGTCAACATAATCATTATTCGCATCCACATGGTCATCCTCCTCCATAGGGACATTCACTTCCACTGGTTCAGGTTCTGTTTGCCTAGCACGTCTTCTGTTGGATGCTATTGATCCCTTACGTGAGACACCACTAACCATTTCTGTGTAAAAAAAAACATTAAACCCAATATCAGCAAAAACTCGAATATATTAAATGACTGATGTAAACAATATCAGCAAAGAAACCATAATTTCATAGATAACATTCAATTTAAAGAAAAAAAAATTTAATGTGCAAATGTATAGAAAAGGGAAAAAATTCAAATAATAATGCAAGTATGCATTTGATAATTAGTTTCTCGTTTGTCTTGTTTATTTTTAATTTTTAAATGTTAACATTGTATTGTATCTTAGAGCTCACAATCTAATCTTCTTAGGATACCTTGCCTTTGGATGTTACAGCTCATAAGAAAATTGACGTTCACAAATAGGTGTTGGTGAATATTCTGGTGATTTTGAAAGAGCCAAGTGATATTCCAATTTGATGACATTGACCTACTTTCAAAATGGATTGATAGTAAAAACATGAAACTACACTTCTTTACAAGGAAAAGACCATATTTTGTCTGTTCTTACTGTTGGACATGTTTTTTGCTGAAATACTATGGTTGTTGAAAAAATGAAAATGAAAATTAGTGCCAGAGGAGGCCATAAATCATTTGTGATTATAGGATCAGTAAGTCTAATTAACCTTGCTGACTATTACTACCAGTCATCTCTAATTCTCTTTTGTTATGTTACGTGAAGAAGAACCCCAAAAAATAACCCAAGCTAGTGCTAAATTTTATAAATTTTGTTGACCTACATCACTTTGGGTTTTTCTTTGATTTTGTTCTAGATTTGTGGGTTTGAGGATTAAATTGTGGAAAATAATGAGACAATGAGAGGGCAAGTAGTGGCTGGAAAATGGAGAAGGTTGAAATGGAGGCAATGATTTGATGTAGTTGTGGCTCTGGTTGTGATTGGTTAAGAGGGTCATAGAATATGGTGGTTAGGTTAGCAAGAAAAGTTGTTAATGATTTGGGGTAGAAATAACGTAGAAATAACCATGACTTTGGACACTAAAGAAGAGTGATTGAACATAGAAGTTTTTGAAAGGTTTAAAGAGGTTTGACTTCAGAAAGATATTGTAGAGAAAGTGGAGATATTTAGGAGAGGAAATAGAGAAGGAAGGTGGAGAGTTGAGAGAGAATGTGTTTCAAGAATATGAAGAAGTTTGGGAAAAGAAATTAGAAAGTAAACTAGGAAAAAAGTAAAAAATAACAGGGTGTGGCAACCTTGGTGGTTGTGTTAGTGGGGGATGAGAATATGGTTGGAATGTGGATTAATGTGATTTAGAATGGATTAATAATGGCAGCGGTACTAGTGAGTTTGATGGTAGTGTTGATGAGTTGGTGAACTAATTATTGATTTGTGGGAGTCATGATGGTTAGCCTGTGGTAATAGGTGGATAGATGTTCAAGGATTCCACTATTCGTGTATGGTTTGGGGTGGTGCTATAGGGGAGTGCAATGTGGTTGAGATTGGTGCATCATATATACTGTAGGGTTGTCAATTGGGCTAGCTTGAGTGTGACATCGTCCTGAAGAGGAAACACTGGTACTAGGCATTAGCTTAGCTTGTCACTAGAACATTCTCACTTCTAAAACTCAGCTCATTATCTTATATAAGTTACTTACTAAAAAGTTTGGGGTAACCCAAATCTATGAAACAAGGAGACATCTATGAGAGATTCTGATTATAATTTTGAACATAAATTAAGAGAAGTATTAAACAAAAATGGTAATCTTGAACTTAGTTTAATGCAACATTTTTATTATACATGATTCATTTTTAATGTGATGATGGAATGTTTTGTAGAGATGGTGCTCCCTTGTGTATTCAAAGAAAGCTACACATTTTGTTGTATTGAGAATTGGGAATAAAGTATCAACTTGGACAAAATTATGTCTTTCGGGATGGAGTTAGCTTTTGTTGCTCTTATATTGGCATGCTTGCATTCTTTTGTATCACCTGATGCACAAGGTATGATGTTCATCTAACATTTTAATTCATGATGTTTATGCATTGTTACTTCATTTTAATGGTATCTCCACTTTTCAAAGAAAGAGAAACATAGATGGGGCTCATAGCTGTTGGCCTCTAGGCATCATCGTTAATAAGATATTGTAATTTCTTGTACCATAACATGATAATTTGCTTCCTTGCTCTCTCTCTCTCTCTCTCTCTCTCTCTCTCTCTCTCTCTCCATGAAGGAATTTGATTACATTATGATGCGGAACATGGTATCTAATCAAGTGTCTTATTTTTTCGCTCTTTAGCTGTCTTATCTAAACATTGGTACTAGGCATTGGCTTCGCTCTTTAGCTGCCAATCTTCGAATT